TTTCTAGAATGACTTCAAATTGTAATATGAAACTACATTTGTTTATCCTAAATAGCTTTAAACCCGTAAAAGTATACTTATATATATGTTTCTACTTAACTTTTATTATTTTACTGCCTTTTGAACTGTGTATAACTAATATTCCCTCCACACGAGTTCACATTATCCCATGAAATTATGTAACACACAGCTACTCGCAACTTGCTAGTAAGTGTTCCTCATAAAAGTTTTTTTTTATTATTCTTTATTTTATCTTTTTTAACTAACCTAAAAAAGTTTCAACTTTTTAAATTTTACTTGTGACAAGAGCCTTTAAAAATTCAGCTAAACTCATTGATGTGTTCCCATGTGAATAAAGTTTGAACTGGAAGTAAAATAGACAATTCTATATACAGAAAACAACAATATATAATACATCATTTGATATATTAAAACTTTGGTTTTCTATTGGTTATAAATGATATTGTATTAAGTGTAAGAGAGAACTACAGGCAATTTGTGAAAGATGACGAGTGTGAAAGGTGAGTGTGGGTCTCGCTGTCTATTTCATGGCCCTGTAACCAAATAAAATTGAAGGCTATAAAAATTATGCATTGCTTGAGTGATGATGATATTATAATGAGTAATTATGTTAAACTTCATACTTCTTGGTAAATACATTAGAGAAGAGGGGATGCTTAGAGAGCAAATATCACAATTCTCACACTAGGGGAAATTGAGAAATTTTTTATACATTGCCTTATAAAATGAAGAACTTAAAACTTGCATGAAATTAAAAGTTGGATTATTTTGATGCTAAGTTTATTCTTATATCATGATAATAAAGTACTTTAATTAAATTTTGAATGCAACTCAGTAAAACCTTGTGACATGTGCAGAGAAGGATGTCCATATGGAAAGAGTTAAGGATTTTTACTAGATTTGTCCATGAATACATGGAGACAAAGTTTGACTGCTCCAAATATAGTTATTTTCATGTTAATATTAAAATTACTTTTCTTTATCTGAAAATTTTCAAATTTAATTTGTGTAACCTCTAAAACTTCTTAAATAAATATTAATATTCTTTTCATTAAAACTTTATATAACTCTGTATGGACTCAGTCAATTTGACTGACCTTTAAATGACTATAGAAAAACACAAAATAAATCTAAATAACCTTTTTTTCATTCTAAAATGACTGCAGATTGTAACAGAAAACTACAATTGTTTATCCTAAATAGCTTAAAGCTTTTAACAGTCTACATGTGTTTATACTTAATCTTATTGCCCTTTAGAATGTGTCTAGCTAATAATCCCACCACACAAGTTGTAAATCACCCAGTGAGCACATAGCTCACATTACTGTATTGAATGATGTAAAGCACAAGCTGTTCATGAGGATACCTCATGAAGAACTATTATTATTATTTTTAATTATCCAACCTAATAAGTTTCTAATTTTTATATTGTAATTGTTTTTATAACAATAGATAAAAAATATACAAGGAAAACAATAAATATAGTACTTAAGTGTGAGCTCTTGTGTTTTGCTGTCAGCTGCCAATGAAAGTTAAGCCTATATTTTTTATAAAGATGGTACTAGAACATTAAATAATTTTTATCTACTTATAGAATAACACACATAAAGCAAAAAATGTTTTATAAATATTATAATTTAACAGGCTTTCTAACTAGGAGAAAGAGGGGCTTGAATTAATTCCCTTTACTGCTCCATCCTAGCACCACAAGATAAACTTTCAAACTGAAGATGAAATTGACAATACTCTTCACTAAAAACAGTGTAGCATTGTACACCATTCAATAGACTAAAATTTTGCCTTTCTATTGGTTGTAAATGATATAGTATAAAATGTCAGAAAGAATTATAGGCAATTTGTTAAAGAGAGGATGTGATAAGTGGGTGTGGCAGTAGGCCTGATTTTCTAGTTTATGGCTCCGTAAACAAATAAGATTGAAAGCTATAAAAAGTACACTTTGCCTGAGTAATAACTAAATTATAATGATTAATTTACATTAAATTTCATACTTCTCGGAGGGGTGGTAAATAAATTAGAGAAGAGAGAAAACCTAGAGAGCAAATGCCATAATTCTCGTACTAGGAAAGACTGAGGATTTTTAAAAATATTTTCTTATAAAATTAAGAATTTAAAAATCATGTAATGTTAAAATTTGATTTACTAACTATGTTTGACACCAAGTTTATTCATATAAAATGATAATAAAATAGGTTAATTGAATTTTGAATATAACTTCTTAAAAAGTAATGAAATACTCACTTTAACCTACCAATAGCGAGAGGGTAACATGAAAACATATATAAACTGTTAAAATATTAAGACTGTTCAGTATGAATAATTATAATTGTCTGTTAAAAATGGCAGTCATGATAAAACAAAGTTTTACCAAAAAATAACTTTTGATATTCAATTAGCAAGTTCTAGAGGTTATGTAATTGAAATATTAAAACTGTAAGGTCAAAAACAGTATTTTTATTTTAAGCATAAAAATCAACTTTCACTCAGACTGATTCAGGAAAGATAATAAGAAAAATAATAAAAATCATCAAATTTCATGATGATACACTCAATAAATTCAGGTTTATTGTAAACACTGCTATGTACAGCTTCGCGAAACCAGGGCTGGTGAGAAACACCAATGCCATTCACATATGATTAAATGGTTCACCTATGTGATCCCATGCTTTGATATTTTTAACTTACTTTTTCTGTAACAATCCTGTGGTTTGAAACGTCATGCATGAGCACTCTCAGAAAATGTGGGATAAGCTGTGGGAGATAGATCTTGAATTCTGCTCCTAGGGCTAGTACAATTTGCTCCACCAGTAAAATAATTGTATTCTGCATTGTGCTGTTTGTTGTCCAAAACTCCTGTTTATTACAAATTGAAAAGAAACAAAGCCAGATATATTTTTTTTGAATACATAAAATGGTACCTTAGAATATCACATAGTTTTGTTTCATTATAAAGAATAATGTTTGGTGAAATCTCAATCACAATATACAAGCAAAACAAAATAAAACAATTCTGAAAACCCTTACTTGATTGAGATCAGTGATCTAGATATAGTAAACTTCTAATATAATAACTCTCAAAAAGAAAAATGCATTTTACAGCAAAAGAAAATTAGTGAAATTTACACAAACATATTTACATCTTAAAAACTAATAAGAAAATATTATTCTGTGCTAAACACCCATTGCCTTAAGGAAAAATCAAAAATAGACACATTAGAAAAAATATAATACATGCTTCAATAATTATTATTTGAAATAAGTTGTGAATAAATGCTTTATGTTTTCAGGTTAAAATGATTTAACTTTCAAAATAATAGTTACATAGTAGGCTTATGTAAACAGTCTTCTTTAATGCATGGTTTCTGTGATTTTATTCTGGACCTCAACACTAACATAATAACAAACTGCTGAGTAGTCGCCAAAATAATTCTTTCAATTCTGAATTATCTCACATTCATTTTCAAAAAAATCATTATATATATATATATATATATATATATATATGTATGTATATATATATATGATCTATACTAATTCTTTGTTAGTAATAAACTAAACTTAAA